TAGACCAGGCTTCACAGGCGCCGAATGGACAGGCTGGTGTAAACCCGTATGCTGCTGGAAGCATGGCGACCCCGTTCGCGGGATTGAGTAGCGTTGCTCAAAACCCGGCATTGGTGCCGCCGCCGCCGCAGACCCAGAGCCAGAACCACACCCCCAACCCGTTGGCAGCAGCGCAAAACCCACTGGCCGCGCTACTGCCGCAGGCGACTGCAGCTCCGGCTCAGCCGACTGCCCCAATCGGGCCTGATGCTCTGCAGCAGCAGCTCCAGCTCCTGCAATTGCTGGCTGCCCAAGGCATTCCTCAAGAGCAGTGGGCCACAGCCCTGCAGATTCTCAGCCTGTCCAATGCCGCCGGTATGGGTGGAATGACCGCCGCCGGCCAGGCTCCTCCGCCTTTCAATCTGCCCGGTCAGCCCGTTGCCAACGCTTGGGGCGCTCGGCCCGACTCCCAGTCACGTGAATTCGACCGGGACCGTGAGCGTGATCGCGATTACATGCGCTCCCCTCCTGGCCAGTACCGCCGCCGTTCTCGCTCCCCCGGTTGGGACAGACGTCGTGAAGCCTCGCCTCCTCGTCGTCGTGACAGCCCTGTCTATGGTGAGTACCATGGCGACTCCCCGGGACGTCGTGGTGGAGACCCGCGCGGTCGCAGAGGAAATGAGTATCGCCAGCGCAGCCCTCCTGGACGCCGTCGTCGCACTCCTTCTCCTCCTCGCAAGGATCCTACCTTGCCTCCCCCAGGCCCCAAGTTCATCGAGTGGGACTACTCCATTGGCCAAGGGAACATTAAAGGTTGGTTTCTGCCCATACTTATCTTATCCCCTTCCTGAAGCCAATCAGGCCCAAACACAAAGTTCATGATTGCTAACTGGCCGTTGTATAGTCCTGAGTCGTACTCTTTTCGTTGGAGGTGTTACGTACGTTTTCTCTCCCATACCCCTCTATAGTAACTACTGGACTACGTATTAACATATGCTTAGGTCTTCTGAGGCGCATCTCCGCTCTCTCTTTAGCAAATTTGGCATCGTCCAGACGTGCATCGTCAACATTGACAAGCGTCATGCTTTCATCAAGATGATCAGCCGTCAGGATGCCGTCATGGCACGCGATGGCATGGAATCCTACAAGTCCGGTGACATGCAGCTCAGGGTAAGCTCTCAACTTCATTTCCCGTCATGTTCTTTCTCAGCTAACTCATATCATAGACTCGATGGGGTGTGGGATTCGGTCCTCGTGACTGCAGTGATTACCAAACAGGCATCAGTGTGATTCCGATTGAAAGACTAACGGAGGCTGATCGGAAATGGATGCTCACCGCCGAATATGGTGGCACTGGCGGAAGGACCATCGAGTCCGGAATGGTCGTCGAGGAGCCCGACATTGAGATTGGCGCTGGTGTATCCTCCAAAGGTTTGTTAGCACCATGTCTATTTTAAAGCTTGTTTTTTGTTTACCATGAAGCTAATGATCTGCAACAGCTATCAGCAGAAGGATTGCTACCGACACTGGCGGCAAGCGTGGACCTGTCTCTTCCCGCACGCAGCAGGACCGATTCCGTCGGCCGGAGCGCGAGGGACCTGCCAACGGGATGGGCATGGGTGGCTCGGTGGAGCGCGAGATACCTAATGCCAACAATGTCGGTGTCCCGCCTGCAGTGCCTGGCTTCGGCTTCTCATTCCCCGGCATGCCCATGTTCCCTCCCGGCTTTATGATGGGAGGAGCACAAGCTGGATCTGGCGGTGCGGCACAGCCGCCTCCTCCAGGCCAAGGAAGCAATTAGCTATGAAGCATGCTATTTGAACGACAATTAGCCCCTGCTCTCCATCATCTCGTTCTTCCCTTGTTTTGATACCACTATTTTCTCTTTGTCTCTTCTTCCCATTTGTCTCTCTATCTCTTTTCTCCTTCTTTCTACTCTGCAACGTTCTCATGTAAATCTGTTTCCGCACACCCCCAAAAAATAATCGGCGTTGGCGCTTTCGTATTCATTGTTCAGCGGAAGGCATACGCTTTATGATTGGGCGTTCTCAAGGCGGGTCAAGAGCACGGCATCTCCCATGTGGCTCCACAATGTATTCCCCCTATGTCCTTGTTGCTTCAATTCGTCGCATAAACAGATGTCTCGGCACACAGCGCTTGTTGGAGAAGTGAGTGGACCGAAGTTCGCTGGCTCGAACACTTACTGAACCATTCAGCGTCTAAGTAGACCTGATCTGTTTTCCTTCTACCTCTTCTTTTATTGCTTCTTGTCTTCTCTATCTACCTGTATTCGCAAACCGCTCATCTCTCCCCGGGAAAGGGGTGGCTCTTGTGATGTGATGTATTACTTTTTTTCCATGTCTTCCTCCTTGCTTTTTTCCTTCTATTAAACGAAATGCTAGTTGGCTGATAACCGCTTCTCGTGTGTCTCTTCTGCATCTGCGTTTCCAACCTTTTTCCTTCTTCGCTTCCTGTGCATAATTGACCTCCCACTTATTCACCTAAATTCATAAGTTCTGAGATCGGATCTATCGCTTTTTTTGTACAATATCGTAGGCATAAACCTTCTTGGGCACTTGGTACGCGCTGCTCGCTGCTTCTGTAGTCAGTTTGGAAGCAAAATTACGAGCTAGTTTATGATGAATAGTCGCTACGTATCAGATGCTCGGTTCTTATCTTACCCATCCAGTGTGTCTGCTTGCCCGTAGTATAATCCAACCTTGTAGTAATCGGTGATGCAGGCGTTCCATCCAGGCGGCCTTATTAGGCATTGCCTTTTCCCTTTACTATCTTGATTTGAGTGTTTTATTAGGATTCTACAAAGGGCCCGCTCGCTAGTGAAAACTAGATGCTTCATATTGGTATCATCTCGATATCGTCAAAATAGTACGTGAAAGTGTCTGTTCCCGCCTCTGCAATGGGATTCCTCAGTGCCTGCCCATGCGCGTTGTCGTTTTGGGGTCTGCGTTCTGGTGTCTGATTCGACCCAATCCCCAAGTCCCTATGAAATAAGCGCAGAACCAGCCACCGCCTCTGAAGCCAGACTTCAAGAGCTCAAACGTAACCAGCGAAAGCATAGTTTACAGAGCACTAGCAGCCTTGAACGACTGCTCAAAGTCGGCAATGATATCATCGATATGCTCAGTACCCACCGAGATGCGGATTCCATCCTCAGTGACTCCAGAGTCAATGCGTTCCTGTACGGTAAGCTGTTCATGAGTCGTGGACCAAGGGTGAATAGCGAGGGTCTTCATATCCCCAACACTGTAGCAGACATGATTAGCAGCCGAAGCTTTTCAGATGAGTCCAGCCCCCACCGCAGATGGACTTACTTTGCGAGATTACTGATCAACTTAAAGCCGTCAACCACTTGACTGCCAGCGGCAGCACCTCCCTTGACCCCAAAAGAAAGAACGCCACCAAAGCCATGCTTGAGATAGCGCTTCGCCGTCTCATGGCTCGGGTGGTCCTCCAATCCTGGGTATGAGACCCAAGAGACGTTTTCATTCTTGCGAAGCCAATTGGCCAGTATTATAGCATTGCTTGCATGTCTCTCGGCACGTAAACTCAAGGTCTCGATGCCGAGGAGAAGCTGTTGCGCAGCAAAAGGGTTCAGAGCTGATCCAAGGTCTCTCAATATCTCCACTCGCACCCGAATGGCAAAAGCAAGGGGACCAAAGGTTTCCCAGAACTTCAAGCCATGGTAGCCTTCGGAAGGTTCAACAAACTGTGGGAAGCGTGCTGCATGCTTTCCCCAGTCAAACTTTCCACTGTCAACAACTACACCAGCAACAGTGGTGCCGTGACCTCCAATCCACTTGGTGGCGCTGTGTACAATAATGTCGGCGCCGTGCTCAATGGGACGGCAATAATAGCCGCCGGCGCCGAATGTATTGTCAACCTAGATAGCACCCTAATATAAGTTGCAAATCCTCTTGACGAATTTATACGAGGGCCCTAAAATCTACACTTACCACTAGGGGCACGCCCTTTTCGTGGGCTACCTTGGCGATGGCTTTGAAATCGGGTACATTATAGCGGGGGTTTCCGATAGTCTCAACGTAAACAGCCTTCGTACGGTCGTCAATGGCTGCAGCTATGGCCTCCGGGCTGTCTCCCTGGACGAACTTGGTTGTGATTCCCAATCGAGGGAATAGGACTTTGAATTGGTTATAAGTGCCACCGTACAGGTTACTGGTGGACACGATGTTATCGCCAGCATGGGCAAGGGCAGATATGGCCATGAACTGCGCAGATTGACCCGAAGAGGCGGCGACGGCTGCGACACCACCTTCAAGGGCGGCGATACGTTTCTCAAAGACATCCACAGTGGGCTGTTTATTTCTTCTAGGTTAGTTGATACTAGAACCAGCTATTGATGCAATGCTTATAATGAGGGGAGTAAAGTCGAGGCTCACGTTCATAATCCGACTATAGATGTTGCCAAACTCTTTGAGACCAAAGAGTCTGGCGCCATGTGCGGAGTCATTGAAGGTGTAGGACTAACAGAGACCTGATCAGAATCGACTGCACATGATACCAGATCTTTGAAGATATTGGCTTACGGTGGTTGCATAGATTGGTACTGCTCGCGAATGGGTCTCAGAATCTGGTTCATGACTTGAGAGAGCAATGTCAGCGCGAGGATCTGGTGTGACAGGTCAATGGAGGGGTCGGTATGCACATACCCCGCATGAAGCTGTAAAGTTTCGAAATGGGGCTGCTTAGATTCGGACATGTTGCTGGCTATTCAATTGGGACGCTATCCTTCAGCTAGTATACTCCCAAGTAAAGCAAGGATTCAACAGGGAGGACAATGAGGGGACAAATTGGCCGAGGTGGGAGAAGTATAATGGGAACAGGTAGTGACATGGAAACGACACATGCTCGCATTGTGGTAGATCTACCGACGACTAAGCAATTGGCGACGACGATGGCGTGATTCGATGGAGCAAGAACAAAGGACGAGGGGAGGAAAAGGCGGGGGAGGCGACGAATCCCGAACGGTAGGAATTCTTGACCATTTTAGTAGTCGTTTCCTAGCTCAGTACTTATACTCGGTCCTGATCTAGTAGTCTGAATGGTCCTAAGTTCTGCTCCTGAATGTTTATGTAAATACTAACATGCAATCAATATAGTATCTTAATTAACATGGAGTACGACTTTGTAGTGGGATCTCCTATAGTATTGAGAGTATATACACTCACTCACTTGGCTCATCCGGGCGCTAAAAGCGAAAGGCCCACATATTGAACCGGACGTGCCTGATTTCGCCGCCCCAAAAAAGCCTTTCCAACAACTGCATGCAGGCTCAGTCAATCTGCCCCTGTGGGCATAGCTATCTACTGCCTACAGATCGGTTCCTGGGGAGGGAAACTGTACCTTGTATTGATAGTACTTTAATATTTATCATTGGGCCCAGGACGATGATCTTAATGGATACATTGTGCAAGAATCTACGTTTGCGTCATTTTAAACAACACAGCCAACGCGGGGGATCTCCGTCTCCTAGTCCTCATACTACTAGGACTACTAATTATGGTACGTGGTGCTGCCTATAAGTTAGGATTGTGCAATAAGCGTCATGTGTTTAGCCCTCAGGGTCCAGGTGGCATCCCTTGGCAGTGTCTAGTACGTAGTGCCACTAACTCACTAGGCAGACATCTCAGCCCTCTTTGACACAGTACAAACCAACTTTTTATGTTAGTTTATTGTTTTCCCTCTTACCATTTCTTACCATTTCAAAAAAAGGATCTTATGAGATCATCGCCTGCTTGGCCTTTTCCCTAGTCACCAATCCTAGGAAGCCGTTGGACCGAGGCACTCGCGGCCAGAGAGGCAGCCCGTCCCGTTCATCCCAGCATTGCAGGCAGAGTCACAAGCTCTCTGAATTTCCTCATATTGTAGCTTCATTATAGCGTCGGGATCTGCGACTGATGCTGCAGGCGCCGCGAATCAAAAAGTTTCAATACGAGATGGCCCTCCGAATAATGACGGTATTTTCTTTCCAGGTAATTCTGCTGTGTACTTAAGTACACTACCTTTGCTTGGATGGGCAGGCAGCTCCGAATCTCCCCAGCCCAACTGGCGGTCTGAAAGATTCGTTGGACTCTTGTTACTGCGCCACAAAGTCGCCTAATCAAGATCGAAAAACATAAGTCTTCGGCCTGCATGTGTGTGCATTATCGCTGGTTCTTTCAAACGTTGAAGAAGAGACAGAAATAGCAGCAGTCAAGCAAGGTACCTAGAAAGGTCAGTCACTGCCTGTTCGTCAGCCCATTCACACCCACGTCACAGCCTTGAGCGCACACTGGCTGGAGAACTTGAAACAGCGTCCGCCTGTGCAACAGCATGTGACTTGCCATCGTTCAGGCGCTATGCGCTCATAACAGTTCTCTTCGTCCAACGTATATGAAGATCATTCCTGCCCTCCACACCATTCGTTTTTCTAAGCGTCAGCTAACTCACGAACTCCTCAGAAAAAGCTGCAGCGCCGCGCAGACTGAGTGTAGTAGATAGGACGTCTATCAGCACCATCATCAACGCGAGCTCCCAATATCAAGCATGGCTGTGAATTTTCCCTGGATCTACCCTGTTCGGGTAATTCAGGCCCTCTTCGGAATAATCGTCCTTGCTTTAACCGCATACTGTTCGTCGAGTCATTCAATCACAATTCAAAAGAAGAATTGTAAGTAGCTGACATATGACAGACATCAGTTGGTTCGCGTATAGTAGCGACTCGCCCAATTTCATGCTTTTCGTGGCGTGCTGGACAGCCTTCATCGCAACTCCCTATCTTGCCTTGGCGCCAGTGTTCTTCCCCCAGTTTGCGCATCGCATCGTCATCCCAGCTGTCGAAGTGATTACCATGATATTCTGGTTTGCAGGATTCATCGCCCTAGCCGTATTCCTCCCACCAACAGAAGCTTGTCACTGGAGCCGTTGCAGTGCGTTACAGGCCGCAGTGGTCTTCGGTGCATTCGAGTGGTATGACTTCCCTCTGATCCCAGATACGTCGCCAGCTTCAGCGCTCTAGCAGAAATGTTTAGTGGTGTATAGCGGGATCTGAAGGATGTGTTGATGTGCATTGTTGCTAACATGGATCGCGTAGGGTACTATTTCTGGTTACTTCCGTTTTCGCTGTCCTCGGCATTTCGCGTACCCGGTCCAGCTCCAGTACGAAGCCCACCCCTAACGATAATACCCACGTTGGCGTCTAAATGGAGTCGATAGTGACGGTTCCATGATACATTTTCGAAATGAAAAGTAGAGCGACTATTCGGCTAGCAGCGGAGGAAGCCCTGAATTCGCCGATAGTATGATAATGACGTCATTATTATGAACGACTACTACGTCGTCAGTGATTCAGGGACAGCGAGGTTGGCGACGGTAATGACAATGATAATTTGGGATAATTCGGAAGGATAGAAGGATATGGTTTAAGCAGCGGACTACAGTCGCGCTTTATGTTATCGATCGTTGACTGCTTTGTTCTGGTTTCGGCAGGATACCCATGTGTTACTAGTTACTAGGAAATTTGGGTCGCCATATGATACCACTTAGTCCTAGGACACCTTGGAATGTGAAATGTGTTTCAATTGATTATAGTATTCTTCGGTCTCTTTAACCTTCAAAGGCCAATAGTGGAATGCGTTTGGTGATTGATGTGATCTGATGTACAATCTGAGTAGGGGACGGCCATGACTGTTAAAGGCAAAGTAAAGTACCGCGGAAAGAGAGGCCGCGCGACAGGCATGAAAACCAGATATGCCGCCGTGATAGCTTACTGGATGAATTGGTTGAGGGTTCTCCATCCATTAGCAAATCAGCTTTGCTTACATTCGATCCACTGAAAAAAACCCACAGCACGTCGAAAAAAGTGATAAGCTTTTTAGTGAACTACAGCGTGTCACTTTTTACTGTCATTGAATCATTGAGACACTATCAGCGGATGACAGGGATTGGCATTCGCACCGATGATTCAGTTGTTGGATCATGCAATTGATAAATGAAATCATGAGTAAGAACGGATCGTAATAGAGGAATGCAGATGAAAAATTTATCTACGTGATCACCTGTACACGATGCTGGTACATTAGATAGATACGAAAATTGAAAGACCAAAGAACAGATGAGGGAAAGCCGTCTTGAACGAGCAGCTCCATAGAATGTTTCGAAGCTCGACAAAATTATCTAGTCTCCGGCAAACGTGCCAATGAACTATTCGGGATCCGAGGGAGACTGGGACGGGTCCGTGGTTCGACTCGCTGCACCGCGAATATCCGTCCGCTCAACGTTCCAGAAAGAAATAAGTGAGAAGGAAAATAGAAAAAGGAAAATTCTGCAACGGAGTAGGGCTGGCCGACTACTCGGATCTCGCCGATTGGCTTTGGGAACTATTTTAGCAGACGTGTCCCCGGGCTCTAGTAAATGAGGAGAAGTTGGGAAGGAAAAAGAAGCTGAGTGGTGGATAATGATAGTCCATTGGTTAGTGGAGTTGACAACCGTTTAAGCTGGAGAGCGCATCAGGCCGGGTAGATTATTTTTTTGTATATCCATGTTGGAATCCAAGGTAGGTTCAAGGAGGCGGCAGTAACAACCAACCACCTCTCAATTGCCTTTTACGATCACTATCCTGCCGAGATATCGTTAGTATGATTTTTTCTTGCCACCACGCGACGTCGTGAGAGGAGCAGGCGTGTTAAAAGTTTCCGACTTACGAGAGAAAAACTCTGTCTCCGCCCAAGGAAGGCCTATCTCGCGACCCACCATCCAGCACCGGCGTCGCTGCTGGGCCAGCTGGATCACGCACCCATTCGCTGAACCTATTCCAAGTTCCCAGATTTGCCCGCTGTCGATGGAGAAGGAATCCACGTTGAGGAGGTTTTAGTGCGTACGAGTGGCAACGCACAATCCATAATAGCAGCCTCTTGCTAAGACTCCAAGAGTCCAGAGAGGTATGTAACCGCCCCATTATTGTGTAGGAGACAAGTCAACCCAATTGAAGAAGGAAAGCACAAGACAACCTGATAAGAAATTACGGGAGAGCATGGCCATGACCAACGTGCATGATTACAATAAACTCAATAAACTCGCGGTCGTTGTCTGGGGAAAAAGCAGACTTCGACCCAAAGGAGAATGTCTGCGCGAGGTTGCATCCGGCGGTGCTGAACCCCCATTCCCACCCCCTCATCTTGACTGTTCCTTTTACCTAAAGATTTTCAGTCTTGGAACATAATTCGATTAGATTCACTATCATCATCATTCGTTGCCTCTCTTATCAGCGGGCAAAGATGGCCAGTTGACAAGGCATGATACATAATCTCTCGACGTGCATATGCATCCCCAGCCGTGTTGGTCGTACCTTAAATCGCAGGTGGATGCGATTCATCTCTAGCGGATTTCGGAGAGGCGACACGCAGAACCCGCTTATAAGGAGGAGCTCGACGACTGGACGGTTCCGAGTTTTGGTGACTCAATCGAACCGTGTTCCCGGTGGAGACAGTCCTGGCGGCGAGCTTCCTTTTTCCTTCTTTTTCGCGATTTTGACTTTTGTGACTTCTCTTCCGTCACTCTCATACACACTGTACGTCTGACGCTTTAACCTTGAGGATATCAGCATCCTCCAATTTTGGGGCCGTTGAGGGTCTAACATGGCCTTCGGGAACAAGGTCAAATCCACGTCTGCCGAGGGGGAAAAGGGCAAGATGGCGCCTGAAGAGACTGTCCAGGTTCAGCCCACGAACCCTTCGTCCGACTTGAACGACATCGACTGTGAGAAACATGGCGCTAGTCGCGAGTCGAATCCCCTGCCCGATCTCAAGCGGAAGCTGAGAAGTCGCCATCTTCAGATGATTGCCATTGGTGAGTCCTGTTGACTGTCTTGGGGGTCATTTCCCTTTCTGCTTCTGCCACAAGACAGACGGCCATTCCGGAAGTGACAACCTGCTCATTCAATTCCTAGGTGGTACCATCGGCACCGGTCTGTTCATTGGTAGTGGTACTGCTGTTGCCAATGGAGGTCCTGTTGGTGCCCTCATCGCCTACATCTTCGTCGGTACGATCGTCTACTCTGTTATGACCTCTCTGGGTGAAATTGCGACCTATATTCCGATTCCTGGAGCGTTCACGGCCTACGCTGCTCGTCTGGTGGACCCCAGTCTTGGCTTCGCTATGGGGTGGATCTATTGGTTTTCCTGGGCTAGTACATTTGCACTCGAGTTAACGGCAACCGGTCTGATCATTCAATTTTGGGACGACTCCATCAATATCGCTATCTTTATCGCCGTCTTTTGGGTTCTGATCACCCTATTGAACTTCCTGCCTGTCAGCTTTTACGGTGAATTGGAGTTTTGGCTTTCAAGCGTCAAAGTCATCACCGTTGTTGGGTTCATGATCTTCGCCATCTGCATTGACGCCGGCGTCGGTGACGAAGGGTATCTCGGATTTCGCTATTGGGTTCACCCGGGTCCCTTTGCTCCTTATTCAGGTGTCCACCCTGACTCGACGGCAAAGTTCGTCGGTTTTTGGTCTGTCCTTATCCAGGCTGGCTTCTCGTATCAGGGAACAGAACTGGTCGGTATCGCAGCCGCTGAGACAGAAAACCCTCGCAAAACGGTGCCTGCGGCTATTCGCAAGACCTTCTATCGCATTCTGTTCTTCTTCGTCCTGACCATCTTTTTCATCGGTCTTCTGGTGCCCTACACCAACGAGAACCTCCTGACCGATGGAAACGATGCCAACTCGTCGCCTTTTGTCATTGCGGCCAGGCTTGCTGGAGTCAAGGTTCTGCCTCACATTATTAACGGAGTCCTGCTTACTGTGGTGCTCTCTGCCGCCAATTCGAACGTTTACAGTGGCAGTCGTATCTTGATTGGTTTGGCTCAGGAAGGTTTTGCCCCGCGCTGGTTCAAGAAGACTTCCAAGAAGGGTGTGCCATACTATAGCGTTGCCTTCACAGCAGCCTTCGGTCTTCTCGGTTTCATGAACGTCTCCAATGCTGGTAGCACTGTGTTCAACTGGCTCGTCAATATCGCCGGTGTCGCAGGCTTCATCACTTGGGCATCGTTGAACGGCTGCCATCTTGCTTTCATGCGCGCCTTGAAGGCTCGCGACATCTCCCGCGACACCCTTCCGTATAAAGCTATCTGGCAGCCCTACTATTCCTGGTACGGGCTGTTTTTCAACATTCTCATCATCATCACGCAAGGTTTCACCTCCTTTATAACCAGTTTTAGCGTCACGGATTTCTTCATCGATTACATCAGTCTGATTCTCTTCGTCGTGCTCTATGTTGGACACAAGATCTACTTCCGGACATCTTTTGTCCATCCTCTTGAGGCCGATATTGATACGGGCCGCCAGGAGGTTGATAACGAAACGTGGGAAACGGAGGCTCCCGCCACCAAGTGGCACCAGAAGCTTGCACGCTCATTCCTGGGCTGAGAGGATCACGACCCTCTGGGCATCTCAGGTACAGGCCCGTGGTCAACAACACTTGTGCTTCTTCTTTTTTATTGTCTTGTTTTTAATTCTCCCATATTCACGCCATACCTCTCATCGGTTGACACAAAGAGAGAGATTCCTATTACTTCTACATCTGAACCCTTCAGTTAATACATATGGCGCTTAGAAATTGGGTTTCACGCATATACGCATCTGCTGAGACAGCTGTTGCTTGTCGGTATATAAAAGAAAAGAGAGAAAGAGAGCGAGAAAGCGAGACGGACCTGCATGAGTTGATGATGAATGAGGGTCGAATGGGTGTCTTTTCCTCATTTTATGAGGGGGCTTTTGTCTATATCTTTTGGGTTCAAGGGTTGAGCCCCTCCTGTACAGTATACATGTTGGGATGTCAGCATTGGCATGGAGTTTGGTAAATGGTTTTTACTGTCGAACGTCTCGTTCGAACTGACTGTGGTCTAACTTTCCTGGAATTGAAAGTTTGCAAATAATCGACGTACTCTTGTTCTGCAGTGTAACTACGACTACTTGTTAAATGGTTCGGAGCTTTATTCTCCATATACATGCGGCTACTCTGTAGTCGTAGTACTAGCCGCCGTTGAGCAGATTAATTAATACTAGCGAGTAAATGGTTAGTGGCGGTGATTCGGTCAGGGTTAGATACTGCGCAGTGCCAAAAAGTAGGATTATTGTAGGGTTCAATCTAGTGTTGTTGATCAGCAAGAGCTGTCAAGCTACAAGAGTGTATATACGTCAC